ACAGACATAACAATTGTATCACTGTCGAAGGATACTGATGTGGGCTGTTACGATGCAACTATTACATCTACATGTTTCCATAATCATACATGTTGAACAAAATTGTTCCAACTTCAACCCCGCTTCATTCAGGGCTGAAGTCAGGGCAGTTTACCTAACTTTTATTGTTACAGGATCTCTCAGATGTACCAATTAAGTAACAGCTGATTCAAGCTCCCAAGCAGCAGTTTCCTTCCTTTGTTCTTACCACTTTTAAAGCACCAAAAATGTGCATTTGTCCAGACACTGAGACAGTAGGAGGGTTATGCAGAAGTTCCCGTACTCTGCCTTGCTCCAAACCTGAGGAAAAGGAGTGAATGGGGACAGTGCTAGGGGAAGAAGGAGACTTTTCTACTTACCCATTTTTCATCAATATTTTTTGGACGTGTTATCAGTGCCTCTGCTGAGATGTTTGCTTTCCCAGCATCAGCATGAAGATCTTAAAAAATGTCTGGCTATTTTTATTCTGCTGCTGCCTAGCTAAAATATGAGTAACCGAGGCTCTAGGTTGCCAACAATTTCTGGAAGACAACACTGAATCAGTTTACTTTGTTCCCATTTGGAAGATTATTTTCCAACCATAGGAATGTTTTTCAAAGCAAAATCTTAAATTGTCAAGAGACTCATACCTTAATGTCCTCACTCACTAGTGAAAGCTTCGTCTCTCTCCCCTCTTTGTTCCCACCTGCCTTTCATGCATCTCTCATTGCACTTCTCTCTAACAAAATTTCTCCAGCATTTTACTATCAATCACTTCAACACCCTTATAAAGTGGATATTATCTCTATATTACAGATGAAATGTCAGACAGAAATGTCAAGTGACTTGATCAAGGGCACAGAGAAAGTCAGAACCAGAGTTGGGTTAGAGAATATAAAACTCATACATGTTTAGTTCCCTGGATGCTTCTTTTTCCTCTCCTCTCTCTCTCTTGCACTGTGTAGCTGCCACTTTCTGTTTAATACAGACTGAAGGAAACTGCTTAACTGAAAATTTCAAGCCGCTGTCTGGCTGACTTGGGCAAGACCTCATCAGGGCTCTTTTTATTGTCAGTGGTAGCAACCTTCAATCCCACATATTGGCTTGGATACAAGGCCATGAATCTCCCTGTCCTCATAAACCACCCCCCTACACTGCCACTACTGGAATACTGTGTTGAGGATCCATAATTCCAGGATTTTAAAAAATTGGAGCGGTTTCAGAGAAAGGAAAGGAGAAAGATCAAAGAACTGTCAAATATATCTTTAGGAGCACAATCTTCAGAAGCTTAACCAAGAAAAAGTTAAGTAGTGACTTGCTCTTGTGGAAGTTAAACACCAAGCAATCTCCCACTGTGGAAGATGGTGGTGTGGTGAAGAATGAATTATAAGCTAAAGAGAGACATTCATTCCCACTGCTTGAGATGTGCCCTCAGAACAGTCAGTCACCTTATGTACTGGAGAGAAAAACCAGAAAGGATTTTTGGTTTGCAGGTTGGACTGCTCTTATCCAACAAAATCATGAAGTCCAAGACAAGGGGACACATTGACTGGTGACATATCTTGGCAGAATGTTATCTTGATATTCTCCACATTGTATATAGTCCTCTGTGCTGACTTCATTGACTTCAACAGTTTTACCTGATTAAAGACCTCAGAACTGACCCTTAGGTATTTCATTTATTTGAAAATATTAACATTTATTATATTCCTTCAAAGTCTCACTGAAGTCTGCTATGACAATGATGTTTCACATTTTTAAATAGAGTGAAAGATACAGTCACAATATGTAATTACAAGGGAAGGAGAAATGTTGAAAAATTAAATATTTAAGCAAAATCTTAAAAAGAAAACAAAATAGAAAAATATTTATTTAAAAATATTCTGCATCTGAAGTGGATTAAAAAGGGGGGAAACACAGGAAAGTCTAGAAGTGAGTCTTCAGAAGTTGTACATAGTTTTGCTGCTAAACTTAATTACAATTATGATTTTCTGAATAATAAAAGGATTTTTCACGACAAAGACAGCTATTCACATAAACAACATACGTATCTGCCTAAGTGACGTTATTTTTTTAAAGGATATTATGGATCATTCAATGCTGGTTAAATAGTTTATTTGAAAGCATCAGCATTTTAAATTCACATAAACAGCCTTGTGATAGTGTAGGGACTATGTTGCAGTTCAGAGATAATCCTGACACACTTGGGGGGAGAGGAAATCTATATAACGTACATTATTAATGACTACTGACTGACCTCTTCTTATCTCCACTAACTTAAAAGATGACATTGAAATTTTCAATAATACTTCAGCTCCATTGTTTGACACCTGTACTATAATGATTTAAAGGCACTTACAACATATTTGCAATGTATGACATTGAAAATAAAACCAAATTTGTTCAGATTATATATTGTCTATAAAAATGGACCATGGCTCTGATCTCACTATAAAATAGAAAGTCTTTGTCATACTGGGGTATGATGACCAAAGAACTTATGTGATTAAACTTTTTTTATTCAAATATGTCAGACAAGTGAGAAGACCAAAAAACAACATTTAAAAATTAGACTAAAATATGGACGTTAGTTTTTGAACACAGGCTCCAGATATACCTTTTGCCTGAAAAGGAAGCAAAACATAAACCAGGCCATTTGTTTTAAATCAAAGTGTGTTATAATAAGAGAATGGGGCATGGATAGTTGTCTAAAAGGGAAAAAAAATAAAAGAAGAAAATGAAAAATTTTTAATTACATGATAACTTTGACTTTTAAAAAACTGTACACTTACGTCAGAATGTCGGGTTGAATATGCTAATAAAACAGAAACAGTAGTATGCGGGAATAGAAAAGTATTTTCTTCTTCCTTGAAGAGTGGTTTTCCTACTTATTTGTAAACGTATTTTGTTTACAAGGCCTATACTTCTGAACAAATCTGGTTTCATATTGCAATTTTACTGGTTTTAGTGGTGTCACTGTGGCATACTAAAATGAGTGTATAGATACTTAACTCCTCATTGTTATCTAGAACACATATCATAGGGCATCTTTACATGTGCTCCAGGGGTGGGGGTAAGGTGAGTGCTTTAATTAATTAGAGTGGCTCCGAGAGCTGTGCTCATAAAAATGCCCACAGCTTCTCGTGTATTCAACATCCAGGCTTCAAAATGGTGGCAGGGGCACTTTAACTTCAACAAGCTTTAGTTGAAGTGCCCCACCACCATTTTGAAGTGCAGAGATGCTGAATACATGAGATGCAGAGGCTGCTGGAGCAAGCTAATTAACACACTCCAGCAGACTCTATTTAGTCTTATCCACCACGGTGTAATTACAGTGTGCTGGAGCAGTATCCCCACATGTCTACAGGCGCCCTTTTATCTAAAACCTCAAGGTTTCCATTGTGTTTACTTGGATAAAAATAATTATTTTTAACAATAGTAGGACAGAGTAAAATGATAGCTCGTATGATTTAACCCAAAATACTCATATACTAAAAAAAACACATATAAAAAAAAGAAATAAACATTACCCAGACAAGCAATTAATTGAAAACTGAAACTGCTGAAATTGGTAAAATTACTGATCCAGGAAATGCTCACTTGGCAACATAGCGGGCATATATTAGCACACATCTCCATTTTTCTATTATATATTTTGATTAATTACTTCTGGTTAGAACAGAATGTTTTCAGTGGTGACACTAATGTACAACCAAATCTGCATACATATGGCTGCATGTACGATACATATGTATAAAGACTGATGGAACACACTCTAAGATGTTCCAGTCATGTGGAATGTTTATTTACTGGATTCTTGCTACAAACTCAGACATTTCCCCCCTACGTATTTGTAGCTACCTCCCTTAATTGAAGTGTAATTCACCTTTTCTCTCCCAAGCATTAGACAAATACTCCTGCTCTGGAATGCACCAGTGTACTTCAGGGTTTAGGTTCTATCTGTCCCCCTGTCCTCACTCTTCCCAAGAAAAATAAATCTGGAATCAGGCTGTACCGATTGTAAATTTCCTCATGGGGTGTCCTTCTCTAGTTAATATATGGAATTAATTTTTAAATATAATTATTTGGTTATAAAAATTACTCTCTTATTTGCTGAACTTCTAGCACGTATTTTTCAAGATCTGCTTTGGGAAGTGAGTCTGAATATCAGTCAATAAAGTCACTCCAGGGATTCTTAGCTTTTAACATTTTTAATTGCTTGTACTTTGGTTATTACACAATAGATAGTTTCATCATCTAAATATAATGTATCTTTGTTAAAATCCTTTAAAATATGATTTCAAACCAATGAATGCCAATTTCTATTTGCCTTTAATTTCCTCTCAATAGTAAGTTCATCAGAGTGTGACAATTAATTAACTTAATTAAGCTAACTTAATTATGTTCTTTCATAGGTCAATATGTAGAGCTACTCAGATTAATAGCAGAGCTTGTAAAGTTAATCTTCTTGTATAATGCAAATGATGCCAAGTCATGTATTAAATACCTTCCCAAGTAACGGATGATATAGGACTGAATGTACTCTAAAGAAGGGCAGAGTCTGTGAAAAGGTTAAATAAAGACAAATGTCTTGGATTTGTAAAATTTTTACACAGAACTAATTCATTTTTAAACTAATAATGTTCTTTCAAGAGGTTTGGCTCAGTAAGGCTATTTACAGCTTAAACATACATAATAAATTACCTTCAAAAGCAACATTGTATGGCAACATTTCTGTAACCATTTCTTCTGACCTTTATGTTTTTGTTATTAAGGAGATTATCTAGAATATAACCATTTTAATAGATTCAGATGAAAATAGGAATGCTTAAATTATTTTCAGGTGATGCATATTCCAAACTACTGTACATTCCAGTTGTGCTCTATGAAAATACTCAATATACAAAATATAATACTCTAATTTTTATTAATATCTTATTACTTATAAGCGTTAAAAAAAAATCAAGACAACTGAAATAACATTTATGCTGTCACTAATATTTAATATACAGCTTACTGTCTCTCATGACAATTAAAAATGATTAATGGGAAACAGTAATCAGATTACAAGAAATACTTATATTAAAGAGACAAGGCACTATACTTATTTCTGGACAGGTGAATAACTTGTGCGTTAACTCAGGACACAGTTCATCTGGCCTTGCAACCTGAGATGTCCAGCTTGACTACAAGTAACTTTCAGATTAAAACATGGTTTGGTATGAATCATCTGAATTGTCTATATTCTCAGAAGATTATTTCAAATGCATGGCTATCACAGACTGGCTCTCTGTTACAACTGGTCATGAATGAAAAAAGAAAGACTATAACAACAATGTTCCATAGGAAGCTGGTGAACAGAGCACAGAACCAGAGGAAAAGACTCCCACATTGCTTAGAACTTTTAAAACCAGAGTAGATAAAACACTAGAATTTTTAATGGAAATAATCCTGCATTTCTAGGGAGATTACATGATCTAACATGCCTTTCCTTCCCTAAATCCTATAGCTATATATTGTATTTTACTATTCTTACTATGTGGTGTACACTGAAAACACCAATTTTCATAGTCATGGTAGATGTTCAAGGCAAATTTGTTTCTGTCCCAAAGCCTTAGGTCTCTAAATTTTGACTTAAGGGCAAATCTTCTTTGGCTGCCAGCACTATAACTTTGTGACAACCAGATCTGCACATTAATATAACAAAAAGCCATAGTAAACAAACACAGTAGCCAGTTTACTGCAGTACGTAGCATTACAAAAATAATGCAACATATATTCTTTAATAATGGTAAAAACAACTCATTCATAGGTCTTTGGAACAGTTTTCCGCACAGGATAGGTTTTACTGGGCCACATGGGATAAAATTAGAATTGTGACTAAGATAACATCAGAAACCGTGAATTGTGCAGGTACAATTTGGCTTGCAAAATTATACTGTTAGTGATGAAAAATAAGAAGGAAAGAACACAACTTGACTTTCAGATCAATTTTATGGGGAGCTGGCATTTAAAAAAAAATCACAGACCGAAGAAATTTAATATGAAATCACTGGGAGATCACAGACCAGAGTCTACAATCAACATGGAACTGTACAAATACTTTTCAAAGTAGAGCAGGATCTAAAAAAAGAAAGAGCACAACAAAAATATGATGCAAAAGAAAAACGCGTAGTTGAAGCCTTACTGTATGGATAACTGTTTTCAATTAACTTCATCTAGGAAATATCCACAACTTTTATAGCTGAAATGTCAACAACAGTCTGCCATAATTCTTCTCTTAGAGGCGTTTAAAGCTGGCAGCTCCAGGAAACAGAAAAAAAATATTGTACTATCTTTGAAGTTAGAAACAAGAAAGCTTTATGTCTCTTCATCAGAGCAAGAGGCATGGCGTTGTGTTCACTATTAAATATTTTCTTGCATCTCCCTGGGTGTGCGAATCATTTTTGACCATCACCATTGTTTATTCTACCCAGCCTTAAATTACCTTCAGATTGGTATATGTTTATCAAGGTAATCTAGTTATTTAATAGTTATGGATGAAGAATGCACTGGGAGGGCATTGCTATAGTCTTAGTCACAGAATCGTTTTGCTTCAATTTGTTCATGAATATGGCACATTATACTTTTTTTAAAAGCAAAAAGCCCCTGTGCTTTACAATAAAGTAAGATTAGAATGGAGACTCTGCTGATTATGTTTATGGGTTTGCTTTGTTAGAAGGCACTTTTAAAACACGTTTTTCAGTCTTACTGAATCTCAAAAGAGGCAGGAAGATTTGCAAAACAATGCTTTACTTAAAGAATAAAGAGTGAAGAGTATTGAAAAGCAAAAGAAAATGTCAGCTGCCAATTACGGTCACAAAAATGAAGGGACATTCCCTTTGCTCACATTTGAAATAATACAGAAGGCTCCATTAGTCCTTTTAAAAACTAATGCATTGATTTGAATGCCTAGTAAGATGCTTGCCAATGTCCACAATCCTTTTAAGCTGCCTGTAGAGTACTTATGACGAATAGCAGTTGACTTAAGTACAAGACACATTTTTCCCCATAAAGCAGAACACTATACTACAGCTGATAGAAAAAAGTCTGCACTTTATCCAGATATGCCGCAAGCAGTAAACGCCTAATAATTCAGAAACAGATTAATGGATACCTATTTTAAGCTCTTCTTAGCTCAGTATCTTGATATTTTGCACAGCTTTGGTAGTTTTACCACTGTACTCAGAAAGCAAAACAGAGAGAGGTAAAGAATTTTCAAACTTGACTGCTACAATGTCATCATTTATAGTTTACCTAAAGGCTCAAAAACATACTTTTTCATCAGAATTAAAAGTTATGAACTTATATATATTATTTTTATGCATAAATAAAGAATTTGTAAAACATACATGCAAGAGGAAAAGCTTGTGGGCCCACACTAGTAAAACATGATTAACTTGATATGAAAAGAAGTTGGTAAAAATAATGTGCATTTCTATCTTACTTCTATTTAAAGAATACGATGTTTAATATGGCTCTTCTGAGATGTGCTGCTATTATAGATAAAAGTGCCAAAAAGCCCTGCTGAAGCATACAAGCTATGTAGATGATGGGAAAGCTGTGTCAAACTGACGCAATTTCTCTGTGTCAAACTGACACGTGCTGTGCCTGTTGCAGGGGTGTGCTAAGCTGGAAGTAAAGTGCTGTTTTTTTCCCCCACCTCTGTAAGCACCCTGTGCGGGTTATTTCCAAAACAAAACCATTTTCAACCCTCAGCTATTTCAACAGAATAATTCTTAAAACAAAGCCTAAAAAGAGGCCATATTGCTCCAAAAGACAAAATTTTGCCAGTCAAACCACAGCCACTGGACTGTGGGGTAGTCACAAATATTTCTGATAATAGGAAAAGTATTTCCTTACTTTCCTTTCACTCAAAAGCAACTGATCTATAATTGTTAAAATAAAAATAAGAAAACTGTCATGCAGACACGAGGGGAAATTTCACCTCATGCGGCTCATGCAGTTCAGTTCCAAGTTCATAGTCAGCAAACATGGGACATGTTTATGCATGGGGTACAAGGGTGCTTCAGCGTGGGGCAGCCTCTGCACTGAAGCACCCTTGTGCCCAGGCTGCCCCATCAGTGTCTACACGTGTGCTGCAGCAGAGAAACAATAGGGCTGTGCGAAGCGTCGGTCCCTGATTCGATTCAGTGGAGAGTCAGCCCAATTCAGTGGCCAAATCTCTGAATCTGAATTGAATCAGGAGACCCTTTAATTTCTCTGAATCGAATCGGAACTCTCTGAATCAATTTGGAGAGATTCGACGACTTGGACACAGACACAGCTTTAAATGTTTTTTCTACACATCTCAAGGTACCAGGTGGCTTGCGAACGCCAAGATGGTGGGGTGGATAGAGCGTCCAACGGGAGTGCAGGGGGCCCCCCAGCATGCTCAGCAGCAGACCCATAAGTGGACCAGAAGCACTTCCGGAGCCACTGGGGAGCATGTTGGCCCCCCCCCGTCCACTTCTAGGTCTGCTGCCAAGCATGTGGGGGAACCCCCCCCCCCACAGCACACCTGTGGGACGCTCCATCCACCCCATCTTCACAGCATTCATGACCCGTCCCTGGTACTTTGAGGTACGTAGAAAAAATATTTAAAGCTGTATCTATGGCCGAATCGCTAATTCTCTGAATCAGCATCGAATCTTCAGATTCGGATTTGGCCGAATTGAATTGGGGACAGTGATCCAAATCAACGAATTTAATCACTGACCCTTATTCGGGCTTAATCTGAATCGAATACAGCGCATTTCGCACACCCCTAATAAATAAATCTGCTGTAGGATAATACTTGTGTCTGGCAGTACTATCCTAGAGGGAGTTCATTAGTTTATTCTGGCCTAATATCACTGCACATGTAGGTGCTACCATCTTACTGTGGAGTTAGTCAGCTCTGCAGTAAATGTCTTGTGTAGATGTGCCTACATAGCCTAATGTAGTGGTGTTCTAATAGAAACTTGTACAATCATCACCCTAGAAAATCCTCGTTATAAGAAGAAAAAAGTGAGTTTAACGTGGATTTTGAGAGTGACATGGTATACCAGTACAATCATTTATCATTTTGTTTAAATAAGGAATGCATAGTTGCTTAATAAAGTTTCAAATTTCCTTCTATTTTAAAATATGCTACAATTATTTTTCTTCACCTGCTGGGTTTCTAAAACTCATCTACACTAATCTATAACACTTCCCTTGGTCTTTCATGACCTATGACAACCAGGCAAAAACACCAAATAAAAGATTTTATTCTAATTATGTGTCTAAATCCCCAAACAAAATTCAGAGCTCTCTATACTCTATGTGCAGTAGTCACATAGGTAGAGATGGTCCTATGACATACAGATTATAATCTAATTTGAAACCAGATATTAAACCTGGTATTAACCTCCCTTAAACCAGGTTAAAGAGAGAAGGCTGTGATGACAGGGAGAGTCCCACTGATCCTCCCATTCATCTTGGATGAAATTTTCATATACACAGAGAGAAGTGAAAGCTACAAATTTACTTCTTATTGTATGTTACTTATATTAGCAAGAACAAAGCCTAACAGAATGACCTACGATGACTGTCCAAAAAACCCACAAATATCATCAACAGAAAAAAAAGTGGCAAACTTCAGACAACTCCCAAGAGCATTACATTTGTATTCATGTATCTTAGATAAGAAAACATCACTGTCAGGGGAAAATTTTAGTTTACAGTCACTAATACGTAGTTATTAGGATATTTCAAAGCATCTTCACTATGAACTGGTCTTCTGTAGCCAAAACTGAAATCTGTTTTGACCACTGATTTCATTCAGTCTTCCTTTTAGCATGCTTTGCAGTTTTGAGTCTTTCAGTCTACTACCCATTTAACTTCTGCATTCCTTCAGCTTTCATTGTTATATGCGTTTCTGAACAATGGCTCTCTCATCAACAACAAATTCACATGGGATACAAATTAAGTTATTAACTAGTTACTAGTAAACTAATACCGGTCAATCCAAGTGTTAGCTGGTTTAATTTTACACACAGACCGAGTAAAAGCATAGGGCTGGAGTTTGAAAATTGACTGAAAGGAGAATTTAAGAAGTTAAAACATTGGTCATCCATGTGTAGCTTAACTTAATTCCCCATCATGGTGATTTGCCAATATACTGGTACCATCTATGAATCTGGAAAAATACTATTGGTCCTCTTCTTACAGTGAAGGGTCCTACACCAAATACCCCACATAAATCCAGGCATAGAACTCTCTATTCTCATCTACACTAAAGCCACCATTTTTGGAGAAAGTGTTATTCCTTCAAAAACTACTTTAACAGACTTTCTTGAGGGCAAATTCTTAGTCATTCAAATTCCCTTCTTTCCAAGAATCTCCTTCTTACATTCAAGATGTATTGAATTGTTATTAGTACTAATCTGCATTATTCTGTAATATTTTTGACCTGCCTATGGGGAGGACTCTATCCTTTCTCACTAGATATAGAAACAAGATAGAGAATCAGAAGAGAGAAGAAATTCCAGAATAAAGAATATTTTTAACAACAAAGAGTTAATGTCCTTTTCTATGAATAGAACTGAAATTAGAGGAACTCTCAAAAAGGACTAGATAGGTTTTAATATAATGTCCAATTCATCTAGAAACATTTTTTGATAGGTCTGTCATAAGAAGAAAAATCTGTAAAATTGGCATAAGCTGGGGAGAGTGAATTTGAAGTATCAGGGCTTCTTCTCAGGAGCCGACAATTCCTGTTCTAAGCAGACATTTTGACTCTTGGGGTTGGGGGAGAGGATCGTCCCCTGAAAACATGCTTCCACAATATGAAAGAGGTTTTGATTTTACAGGTTTCTCTCTCTCCTATGCCTCTCTGAACCAATTAGTCCCCAAGGTACCTCTCTGTCCTACCTTCTGCCTGGCTTTAGACAAACACAGCTAACCACCCCTTGGCTATGAAATAGGTATGTTTCATGGGTTGACAGAAACGTATCTTAACTTAGCTTTACTTTGGAATAAACTCATGACCTGAAACTTGCTGGATGAAATTGGATGCTGACCTCTTAGAAGTATGGTGGGTTTAGCTATTTAGCTTAGTCTTCTTTTATTACATTTTTAACACTTATATTTTTATCATGCAAATACATTCTCATATCAAGAGACAGGAGAAGTGCAAATCATCAGTCATGCAATCATGACATTTTAAAAGAATTCTTCCAACATTTTTTTCTATTATAGGGAAACTCAAACAGTGGCATTTGGTTAATAATGTAGTAGCTAATACTGAATGGACTTTTATGGACAGGGAACCAAAGTTTTGTCATAGCAATGTGGAATTTGGCCATATGATTAGGCCAGGCAAGTAACTCCTGGTGCTCAAATGAAGGCATCTGCAGTAGCTAGATACATTTAAATTCCGTTTCCTGGTAGCTTTCTTTAAAAATGAGAGGGAAGTTCTCTGAAATCATGGCCAATGTAGTCGAAATCTAAGAATTTTGGCAATAGCCTTACACCAAAAGGCCCAAAACAAAGAAACCCCCCCCCTAAAATAAACAAACAAACACACACAACTTTCTAATAATTTTAGTTCTATAGGATTTGACTGTTTCACTGCCTGAATAAGCTCTTGGCTCTTGTTATGGATGTATTAGAAGGAATGAACACAAATATTTTCTAAGATTACTGGAAATTCCAGACACTTACTATGAGATTCTCAACTAATGACAGCAGAGCAAACAACCTTAGCTTTAGGCAGTGATACTTGAGGCCCTAGAAATCACAACAGGATTGTTGTAGAAGGGCTAGTCTGCACTCTATTTTTAATAAAGCTTTTTTGTAGCTAAAACAAGACCAGGAGTGAAAAATTGCGGCAAACCTAAATTCTCAACAGTTACGTTTGGAATAAAATAGACACAGAAGGTCCTACCTCTTCTGGATGTTTCTGTGCCACCGATACCAGCTCTTCAGAGCTACTTCTTGAGGTAGAGGGTACCACTTTACCTGGGGCCTCTGCTACCACCTCATTTGACGGTTCGGAATCCTGAGGGCAACAGAGACAAATAGACCCCTCAGCAGTGTATTGCAGCGGTACTCCATCAAATAGACTTCGAGGGACCGTGGTATAAGCACAGGCATAATAGCCAAGAACTCCATAGTTCAAAAATTTGTCCTGGGCAAGCCACATAACCTCTGTTTCAATTTTTCCACCTATAAATTGGGGATAACTGCATACTTTCCTCACACTAGTATTGTGAGAATCAATAACTTTTATGTAGTATTTGAAAATATAAAGTACCCTACAAGTGTTAAGTATTATGCCTTAGTTTCCAAATTTAGCAAAGGGAAAAGAACTTTCTTCAAATATGAATAAGTAAGGACACAACGCTGCAACCAGCTGTGAGTGAACGGAGAGGTTGCAAAATCTCCATCCTTGAAGGTTTTTAAGACCCAGCTAGACAAAGCTTTGGCTGGGATGATCTAGTTAGGGCTGGCCCTGCTTTGGGCAGGGGGCTGGACTAGATAACCTCCTGAGGTCCCATCCAACCCTCATTTTCTATGATTTGATGATTCCAAGATCTGAGATCTGGGGATAATAAGTTCAGTATTACTTTAATGGTTAGGCTTCAATAATTATAAGGTGGCAAACAAAATCTGACAGGTATTTCTGCTTAGCAGAGAATGTACATCCAAATGTATTTCCAAATGGTGCATTGGAAAATGATAGAAATGATCTTAGTGCTTTTTTTTGTAAAAGTAAAAAAATAAAATCGGATGGCAGGTTAAATTGCTCTAGTGGCTAATCTTCTGGAGGAAAGTCTACCCAAGGAATAATTATAGTTAAAAAAAAATAAAATAGGCCTAGGACTGTAAAGCTTTTGCAAAATTCCAAAAATGGAGGGACCTATAAAAGACATCTTTGTATATGAAGTGAAGTGGGATGGGGGTGAGAATGAGGGTGGGGGGGGGGTCATTTGATGTTGGTTACATGCCTGTTTGCTGTCTGTTCAAGAATTTAGTATTTGTCAGAACCCTGACTTCTAGCTTCCTCTGTAAGAACTGACAGCTAATATTCGCGTCTCACATCTTATTTATGTGACTGCCCTAATATTATCACACATGTTCTCTGTACCTGTTGGTATTATATACTCTCACATCTAGGATATTTACATATTCTCTGAAGGTTATCCTCAACTCTGGTGTCTTCTACCTTGTAACTATCCCTTGGAAACACAAATAAGTAACAGTTATTCTGTGGATTGGGAATGTGGGGGAAGATACCAGAAGATACAGAACTTAGTGTAAGGTATATGTATGCCATATATTTGGAGCCTTATATATACAGAAAATTTACTGCTAGCAATCTATGTTCTTCTATTATTTTAAAATCAATTACATTAGATATTAAACACAGATTAATATACTACTAGTTGTAAGTATATAAGTCAGCAAATAACATTAAAGAACGAATACAACCCAATTTTATGGGTCAACTTTGTGTGTCAAAATATTGGTATTTAGCACAAATTCAGATGCAAGGCAATTCGCAGTGAGAGCTAGAGCTGCACACAGGGTTAGGGTTAGTCTTAAACTGATGTTTTGTGGCAAAACAGTATCATTTGGACTGATTTAAATTATCTTGTATATGCAAATTAACTTAAAACCTAGGAGAAGAAAGTACTGTAGCAAGAACAGTATTATCAGGTAAGTGTAAAATATAACGGGCTTGACCCATCTTCCCCATGCCTCACAGTCTTGTTTGGTACTTTCCCTGCTACATACTGTCAGCATACATGTTAAACTTGTCCTGCACGCCACTTCACAGCAAAACAAACAAACAAAAAAATCCTACTATAAAATTCACTCCATTGAAAACTGGAGTTGGAAACATTTCTTCTGGCACCTCTAACCCAGTAAAAGGTGGATGTCAGGGAACAGTGGATAGGTCACCCTAGAGAGATCCAATTTAATGCTCTCCCTCTATAGCATCCACTTCTACCAGTATGAGACAGGATACTGACCCAGTATGGCACTCCCTATAGATGAACTTAGGTTCTTTGGAACTTTACTAAATTATACGAGGTTCACATATGGTTCAATGCATACTTGCAAACTCAGGGATACTTAAAAACAGAATTTGGCCCATTTCATTCTCCCTTTCATTTTCAATTAATGCTTTCAAATGTACAATCAATTCAACAATTTTTTTATAATATAATTTATTGCATGTAAATAGATGTCAATCTATTTTGTGGCTCATTGTACAATCACCTAGTATAGAATCTGGGTAAAGCTTTTCCTGAATCTGCTGGCAGGTCTAACACTACAGCAAAATATCATCACATAAGGGATGTAACTCTTAGGCAGTTTGTATTTTATGTTCTAAATTACTTTATGTTGACCCTTCACTGGATTTGTTTATATTAGCTTGGTCAAAATTACAAAAGATGGGCCAAAATTAAAGGCATACAAATAACACTTTTTGATTATTGTGGGCTTGATAACTACACTTCAGTGTTTGACAATATGGAACCAATCTGTTAATCTGTGCTAATCCTACCGCGAACTTGTTGTAATGCTCATTATAAAAGTTATTTTACATGTTATTATACAGAATGCAGAATACATGCTTTTGATGTATCACTTTCCTTTTCTCTAGTCAGGGAAATCAAACAGTGTACTCTTGGAAACTTCAAGCTGAAAAGCTTGTTATTAAGTTTTTCTAACATAATGACCTCAAAAAAAATTCAAGTTTTAGGTTTATAAAATAAAGTGTTTGCTATTTATATGTTTGCTTTCACCTATTTATTCAAAAGACAGAGTAAAGGGTCTGAGGCTCTGAATTCCATACACATTTTTGTTCATAACTGTTCCATTGTTATGCTTCCAATTGGGCCATTTATATGTTGCAACTACTCTAAGGATCATTTCCTTTGTTGTTGTTCCTTTTGTTTCTCTTCAAATAGTTGGGTAACACTATTCAGATCCTTATAGCTAGCAAACAGAAGACAAAAGAAAAACTGAATTTAGTACTATTTTGGTAAGTTTACATCAGTTAATTTCAAATTGATTTTAGTGCCCTGGTTAGAGTAACAAGACCAGCACACTGCATCATGGGGAAGCCTAAGGAAGACCAATGAATAATTAGGTGAGAAGGAATGAATAGAAGACATGTTATATGGTTGGACAGCCTGAAGGATTCCTTTGGGACTGGAAGGTAGAATAATTTAATATGTCTGTTGAATTCATGTAAAGAATGCAGGCCTCTGAGTTTAATAATTACAATACCGTGACAGAAGCCCTTCCAGTTCAAGTATTTTTGTGATTCACATAAAAGCAGAGTTATCTCTACCTACTGCACTCAACTGCTTGAGGAGTTTCAGTAGAAGCATAGCCAAAACACTCTAGAAATGAACAAACTAAAAAGATAAGTATCTACAGCACAGTTTGTTTTTCTTTTCTTGCTTCTGTAGCACAACAGAATAACTTCCTTGACTAGTGGAAAGAGATAGGGACAAGAAACAGTCACATAAGAGTGATAGAAATTCCTACAGTTCTGTCACAAAACCCCGACTGTCCTATGATGCCAGAATGTAGCAGTTCATACTGTGCTCATGCTGACTCCTTTAGGTTAGCTGGGTTACTCATACATAATGCAAATTATCATGTGGGATACTGCTCTTGTTAATGTTTACCTGACACAATAGTAAAAATGTCAAAAGGTGCAGAAACCTTTCATCAGGGCTTCTCACCAGTGTTAAGCTACAATATGACTAAGCAATAGCTCTGGTCCGAATTTTGGGGTGATACACCTTATGGTTGCCAAAGCCCGAGTGTGAAAATAAATCTGAAAGTGTTGTATCAGAATCATAACTATTTGACCTTAAAAAACCCCTTTCTATTGAAAAGATGGCAAAACGTAGAATTTCTATCAAGAAATTTCTTACCTCCTTTTCTTACTATTGATACCCACAACACTCCAGATTAATTTTGCAAAACTTCTCTTTCCAACAGCTCCAGTATCATGAAGACTAAATACAGAACCAGCAATAAAGCTCTTAACTAGACTGTAGTTATTGTGAGTGAGAAGTTAAAGCACATGATTGTCCTGTATGTAGTGCATGAATGTCCGTCAGGTAACCTCCACAACAAACCTCTAAAAAAACCCTGCATTTCAACTGGGACCCCCTCCTGTATCAACTTTATTTAATGAACTTCTTTTGATTTGCATGGAAATGAGATGGACACATACAGGCCCATCCTCTGCTCAAGGTAACTAATGTTAGATACATTCAGAAAATAAGCATATAAAAGTTATTTTCCTCTCTTAGGCAGACATGCCCTAGTTACTTCTTTTCATCACACTATCTATAGTAGAGACATAACTTGTAGCTGAGACAGCTTTGTCAGTTAAACTCTAACGCAAGAAACCTTCATTCTTCTAAGTTCCTGTTGTGTTTGTCCACTGTTTGCCAAGAGGGATTATTAAGAGTTTATAGCAATATAAGAACCTCTTATAAAGGTACTTGTCCCTCAGCCCTGCAGGGGATGAATTCCAGGGTTCTAAAGTTGCAGAGAAACTAAATTGCTAATTTTTAGATGGTACCAAGGTAGTTTTCATCTGTATCCTTTGAAGGATAGAAAAACAAACAAAAACACCCCCTCCCCCAGAACTGTGCAACTATTTGCAAGCCTTTATCATGCAAATTATTTTATACATACCCATTTTGTTGTTTAAGCCTTCTTGTTTCATTAAAGTACCATTTAATTTTCTGACCAACATGTGGAGGGCCATATATCTGCATTCTGAAGCCATAATATATCTTCCTAATGGACCACAGTATTTATTAAATTAATGAATAAATTATAAGGAGAAATCACTGTTAAAGAAGCAGAGCTTCCAGTTTACTGAAAAAATAGTCACTTTTACAGGAATGTAAATGCCACATGCACACAATTTGTGGCAACTCGGTAATTTCATTTTGAAAACAAACAAGGGGTAATATTAACAGTGCCCAAGTTAAAAATACAGAACTACTGCAA